TAGTGTGTCTCACCCTGGGCGTCCTTGCCAAGTACAAGGACGAGGGTGAGTGTGTGACATACTAGGAAGAGCAACATGAGCTTTACGAGAGCTGGTTCTATCCCAGGCGTCTATAAAACACCGTCTTGGGGCATCTTGGACGAAGATTCCTCAAGACGCCACGACGGGATCCGCCTACACATGTGCCACACTCCATTACATGGGGCAGTGTAGAGGCGTGTGGCTAATGCTGTTATTAATATTATTATTATTATTATTTTGCATTGTGGTTATCATTAGCATCACCGTTATTATTTGTGGTAAAATCAATATGACTGTCGATACAATTCTCTGCGTCAGGTGTGGTGACTAGTGGGGGACGGACGCGGGCCTCGACTCAACACACACGGCCCACCATGTCTTAAATGAACCGTGGACGTACTGGTGGTGGTGGTAGATAGTAATTTCTACACCATAAGTCACTTACGGATCATTAGTAATGTATAACGTGGTGAGCCATTACTAGCCATAAGTCATACACATGCCCCGGGCGGCTGTAAATCTCCCCAAACATTCCTCGCTATAATCCCTTTTATAATCATTCACCGTGATGACCATTCGTCTTTTTCTACGACTGAACATAAGACATTAGTTATGTTATCTTATAAATTAGTAAGTTCATCCTCTCCCGTTATTTCTTTAAGGCAGAAGAATGTAACCTCGCTCCACTGCCGCCTGACACTTATCGTCCCAACACCTTGAAAAAAACCCGGAGTTGTCTTGTCAGTTCTCATGAAAGTTGAGTCTGTGTGTGATAGTTTCTAGACCTTCCTGACCACCACTTACTTTCGCAGCTCTTAAGTGAACCTCTTAGTTACCTTCCTCACTAAAAACAACTTAAGATTCTACAATTCCTTCTATAAAGTATCGAGCCACCTTAACTCACCTCTTAATCCTCCTGTTTAAACGGAGATTCTTGTACAGCTCTGTAGGTCTAGCAAACTATCGGTCAATTATGTGTGTTAATATTTACTAAAGGTTATGATTGTATGTCATTAGTCAGTGAGATGCTACACCTTATGATTAAATAATACCATACATGATGTTTATAATGTATGGGAATGAGTTATATAACATCATTGTTAACTTTATGACAGCGTGAGTGACAGGCCTTAACATCACCTCAGAGTACAAGCAAACACTCGTTCACTCAGTCAGTACAAAGAACATTTTAGGAACCGTTTTAACTTTCATGTCACTAAGTTATTTTATTAAAGTTATTTACCAGCAGTCGTATTTACTTTAGTGTTTTAACATGTGGAATTGAATGACAAGAGTTAGTTCAGCCAAGTGTTCAAACATAACCTGTCAATTTTAACATCAAGGAGTAATTTTTCTCACGTGATCTACTAAATGTATTATAAATATACCCAGTAAGTGTAATACCTCTCGAGGCTCTACCTTAATGAGATACGTGTACCCCTGTACTTAGCTCTACAGGTAAATGACAATATCGCCCCGAGAGTCTAATTAAAGCACTTACGTTTACTTCACACCTGTTATGAGATTATACGGAGACTTTACCTTGACGGGGATGTATTCATTAAACGTCAATTAAGAGGTGATAATTAAGGTACTGAACCAGCGAGTTGTATTTCCTTCCTTCCTTCCTTCCTTCTGTCACATACTCCCTCCCTCTCTCCATCACACTCCTTCCCCCCAAATCTCCCTCCCTGGATCATACTCCCTCTGCTCCTCCATCATATTCTCTCCCTCCAAACTTCTCTCCCTGACTTACATTCCCCTCCCCCCTCCGTCACACTCCCTCCCTCCCTCACTCTCCCTCCTCCACAAGACTCCAGGCACACCACACACACAACAGTCCACTCAAGCGGGACACAAACATGAGAGTTATTGTTATTTATCGCCAATGACTGTTATTTATTGATTGTAATGACAGTAGTTCAAAGTGCTTGGTAGGAGAGCGTATAGACTGGCCATTAACAACCGAACTAGTGGATATAATAGTTTTATGAGTCGTCGTTATCGTTGTCTCTCCTCGTATTGGTCACCGTCAGGAGATTGAGACTACCTTCAGGCGGGTGTTGGTGTGTAGAGATCAGTCATGTATGAATACCAACTCTAACGTACATGTATACATATATAACACACGCTTCAAATATGTATCTTTACGACTTTATGTTTGACAATATGACACAACAGACGAAGGATTTTGACAACCTTACCGAGACAACAGGAGTCAAAGTGTTCATTATGGAATTTATCGGACCCCTCCCTGAAGGTACTCGGACTGTGTAAATACAAAATATACAATACATACACATCCCTAAATACACACGCAGACACGAACACACATACACATAAATAATACATGTGTTGTGTTGTAGGGATAACTGAGACATAGGGTCTGAGAGACCTACAACAAACACATTACAGGTAAAGTTAATATAAAAAATCAACACCAATAGATATTCCGTTGACGAAGATGTGACGAACACCAACATATAAATCCAAAATATGTTCCGATACGATACTTATAGTCTAACGATGATAGCGACGATAGCGACGATAGCGCGATAATTCCATTCGCCAACAAGTTTCCTCACCTACATCATTCCCTCAGATGTAAATAAAACGATTGAGAGACTTAAATCAGCGTAAATGTAAATAAGATGTGTGTAAATTTAACTAATACAAGTGTAAAATGATTGTAAATTTAACTAAAGTGTAAATAAACTGAATAAAGTAAACTAAAACGAGTGTAAATAGAATTACATAAATCCACAGATGAGTTCCGTCAGGATATTTACAATAAATTAACAGTAAACTGACCTTAAAAGATATTGACAACTTCCTAAGGAGTCCAGAAACGTTCCCGGTGCAAAATCTGACGAGAAACGAAAGACAAAATATCAAAACAAAGATAAAAGCAAACTGGAAATAGAAAATAAATATGCTGGACTAAAGTAAAAACAATAAGATCCTATTTGAGTCAAAAGAAGAAAAAGTAAAAGAAAGAAAAGGAAGAGAAATTGTAAAATGATAATGATAGAAGTAGGAAAGATAAAGGAAATAAAGATCAAACTATCAATTGTCAAAACAGGTAATGAGGGAATTGTGAGCAACATGAAATCTGATAAGATAAGATTTTAAGGTTGGTCAACATCTTGAAGAACATTGAAGAAAATGAACAGGTATGAACTTATATGTTTAAATGAAATATGAAAATATTTAATATTAGAGAACCCCTCCTAGTGATTAACACACCCACCTAGTGACTAAAACCCTCCTATTTAAAAAACCCTCCTTATGACTAAAAAATAATCGAGTTAAAAAACCCTCCTAGTAATTAAAAACCCTACTAGTAATTAAAAGAAACCCTTCTAGTGATTAAAAAAACCTTCCTATTAATGAAAAATATCCCTTCAAGTGGTTAAAAAAAACCCTAGTTAAAAAACCCAAACAATATTCAAGGTTTTACAGTAAATAAAAAACCCAGGAGCCTTAGAGTTCTCCCTGTGAAAGAGTATTAGTTTAATAAGCCTTGAAAGTCAATGTAAACAGGTGAAAATTGTTTACACTGGAGCTGGGAGTTGTATTGTGTGTTTGTTCATATCTACCAGAAGTTGATTTCATTTATGTTTACATCTGATGGTTCGCTGTCATTGGTTTTAGATACTTGAGGTTAGCCCAAAATATACGTACAAAGTGTTCATTTTATATTAATCACAGGTAGTCCCAGGTGGCCTCAGATAGCCCCAGGTAGCCTCAGGTAATCCCAGGTAAGCGCGTAAGATAGAACTGTCGAGTTTGGTTAAGTTTGCAGGGTTACAATATCCACAACGCTGAATAGTTATGACTGATTCACTTTGTTACTTTGTTATTTTTATTAAGTTCACAAAAAATAAACTCAAAGAAATAATATAGTCATTATCCATTTTATATTAATTCAATTTATATCTCATATACAGGGTGACATAGAAGTTGTTTTACCGAGAGCGATGACAGAAGCAAAGTTATTATTCTCAGTGAAATTACTTATGCGTCACTCTGTATAGATTCAGCAGAGAGTTTACACTACTGAATGACTCCTGTAGGTCGGAGTTAATACATCGTTTATGTCTATTAATAAAGAAACTTCTCTCAACACTTAGGAATACTCTCTTATCTATATTACCCATTCGTAAGGTATTATATTTATCCCCCAGAAGTCCTCACCTATACATGAAGAATCGTCGACATAATGAGGTATCACTTATCACTCAGGAATCCTATTTTTTTTCATATCCCAGCTAGCGGTGTTTAGGGGGATATTGGTAAACACTTTAACTGTGGGTACATTTATCTCTGCCTGGCCTCGAGTACAGTGTTGATATGAGACCAAGGTGCTTATAGAATACCAGCGTGGGTCCGTGTTTGTTCTCTCTGTTTGTTCTCCCTGTGTTTGTTCTCCCTGTGTTTGTTCTCCCTGTGTTTGTTCTCTCTTATGGTGATATTAATCAACCTTTATAGAACTGAGAGTAACCAAACATTATAGTAAACGGTGACTTGGTTGGACTAAAAGGAGTTGAGTAGTGAAATATATTTTGGGGGGGAATTATCTGTTTTTTATCATTGTCAAAAGATAACAATAGTTTCATTTATCGTGTTTATTCGTCACCTGTATTAGGACTCAGGTGTGTGTGTGTGTGTGTGTGTGTGTGTGTGTGTGTGTGTGTGTGTGTGTGTTAGAAACCAAGAAAACACATCGCTTATCTTCCAAGATCTTAGAAACTGAACCTTAAATTATATTATCCAATTAAAAACTTTTCTTCCTCTTTAAAATCTAGACTTCCTGTTATTCCCCTCAATCCCAAAATAATCACACAACTCATCAGAAAAAAACCAAACCCCACCACCAACTCCTTCACGACACACTCATAAAACACTACATCGTATTCTTATTATTCACAAGTTCCTAAGAAATGACTTACATTATAATGACTTGTGTGTCGTTCCAGGTATAGAGCAACAACATGAAAAAGGGTAAAAAAAAAGTAAAAAAAAAAAAAATGAATTCGTCTTCTCGTTGGAACTCGCCTCAGAAGGTGGTATTAGCACCTGCGAATCACCAAGAAAAATACCTGGACATCTTCCTCTGAGAAGCTTATGACAGGGAGCGCCACAGTCATGACAGCAGGGAATTAAAGTGTAAGTGGTAACTGTCAATCACCAGTTATTCATTACAAGTCGTGGTTTACGGAGGGGGAGAGAGGAGGTCGCCAGGGGGCCTTGTGATGTTTGTAATTAACTGAGAAATTAGATAAAGTTGACTTGTACGACGTCGCTGTTTGCTGATATAACCTCAAGATGTTGGTCCAGTGGGTGTGCAGGGTGTGTTGTGGGTGATGATGTGTGGGTTTGTTATGGGTGTGCTGTGGGTCTGGTTTTGTTGTGATGGTGTGGGTTTTTGGGTTCGTGATTTTTTTTTCGGTTGTGAAATTCTGAGTTTTTCTTATTCATAAAAATCTTTTCCTTATGCGTTTCTAGATCCGTATTTCAGGCTGTATTCTCCAGTAGTATAATTTTTTGTCTGCAGATGAGGATATGTATGTGAATTTGTGGATATTTATGTAGATTTGTGGATGCTTATGTGAATTTCTATACATGTATGTGGGTTTGTATATCTTCTTATTAAATTCCAGTATTGTTGTAGTATTTCTGTATATCTGTGCTTCAAAAATGTATTCTTGAATCACATTACACCTTAAACAATCCCACACCAGAGATACAACTTTGTATTATATTATTGATTCTTGTTATAATAATATACATAGTTTAATATCATTTATACACTTAGTAGATATTATCGCTTATCTCTACCAGGTTGCATTATAACTTCAGCCTGAGTAGAGTATTTGTAAACACTGATTTAATGTTATGAGAATTTATCAACCTAATTCTTTTGTTTTAATGTTTTTATCTCAATTGTTTACTTGTATTGTTTGCGGTTTAATTTTTTGTTTATTTCCTTTCTTTAAATATTAATTTATAAAGCAAAAAAAAAAAACGTGATTTAAACAGAAGGGAAATTTCAGTCATTTTGTTGTTATGTTTCTTAAGAACCTAAAAAAATAATAAGAACATAATAGAAATGGGATTAAATTTTACATTTAAAAAGATATTATATGGGAACTTAAGTGTGTGTGTGTGTGTGTGTGTGTGTGTGTGGGTGTGGGTGTGTGTGTGTGTGGGTGTGTGTGTGTGTGTGTGTGTGTGTGTGTGTGTGTGTGTGTGTGTGTGTGTGTCCCCTTACCAATCACACCGCCTCAGAGCCTTTACACCCCTACCCTCACCCGCTCACCGCCGCGTTGTCAATATCCACTACATTAACCCCCCTTACCCCATTTCTCCCCCCCCTCCTCACCTCCCTACCTCACCTGGCCTAACACAACCTCTACCAATACCACATAAGACACCAATTACCGACACTAGAAAGGATTATACATCATTTTATTGAGTTTTTTTCTTTGTAAGGGTTTGGCGGCTCCGACCGGCCCAGGTGTAGAGCACAACAGAGGCTAGTGGTGGTGGTGACGAGTTGTAAGATGGCGGCGCTACACTCCCCTCCTCCCCCCTCCCCCGGCGGGCTAGTTAACAATGTCCTAATACAAAATTCCGTCCATTTGGTTATAGGAATTGATGAAAGAACTACCTGACGAGTTTAACAGCACGTGTGGGTGTATATCTACCTCTCTCATTAGTCTTTAGTGTAACAACTGTCTCGTTTACGATATATTTTTGTTATTGTCGAAATAGTAAACTGTCTCTTTTTTTTTTGCAGGTGAAGAAGGAATAATATTTACCATTTTATATATAAAGTTTAGTATCTATTCTCTTCCTCCAATTGATCACTGGTTGGTGGAGGTAAATTTCAGTGTTATTCAAGGTATATATATATATTTTATTATTCATAAAATGACAACCCGGCTTTTGGATACACACACACACACACACACACACACACACACACACATATCAAGAAGCGCTCAACACACTGACCCTTTCGACTCTCACTGACCATCACCACGGCCTCATCTGCAAATTTGGTAAGAAGCTTCTACACCATCCTCGACACCGGCTCCTACTACCACCTGAGATCCCCTGTCCGAGAATTGCTGTTCGACACCACAACCGCATCCAGCCCATACGTGCACGAACTGATCGCTATAAGAACAGCCCAGTCCCAACCATTGTAAAAATTATCAATAACATGTAATAAATCAGTGTATTCACTCCCAGTAAACACTGCTCCTTACACTGTCACTATGTTGAAATGAACTGTAGTTTGAGCTGATCCCCATCTAAGTTATTATATGTCTTATTTGTGTCACTTATGTTACTTGTATATTAGTTGTAATTCGTAACCCATTCCCCAAATATGTAACTGTATATTTTCAGCCTTCTGGCTGCCAAGCTCTTTCAATAAACCGTTAATTATTATTATTATTATTATTATTATTACACCCTCCACCCCCCAGCGTCAGCAGCCAGTCATTAACTCTACTGATAAGTAAGTTTTGTCTTTCTATCTGGGTGGAACAAATTATCCAAATGTTCCTCTGCATCAGGATAAAAGCATTGGCTGACCCCCACGTGTAATGGAGGTCACTCTACCTGGCTCACCTGTCCAATAAAATGACACCACCCTCCGCCACAGGTTAATTAAACACAGGTGTGACGTTGCTCCTGACGATACGAATCTAATATACAAAATGGGGGTGATTGATTTTTTTTATATATATGTATCGTGTATATTGGTGTATTAATCTGTATAACGGGGAAATTAGAGCCATTTAATGTTTATTTGATCAGTTGTGTGGAGTAGTCAATTGAGAGTTAAAAGTTACAAGATATGTGTATGAGTCAATTGAGAATTAAAGCAAGTTTGAGCATAATGTTTACCAGTAGATATACACCAGGTATGTATGTATGTTTATATATGTATATGTGTATGTATATAAATATTACCTTTCCCGATGTCTTAAATTATTGCTAAATCCTTCATCTCAGACAAAACACGACACTAACAACAAAAACAGATAAATTAAGTAATATAAGAATACAAAATATTTTACATTTAAAAATTAACACTCCACTTTATTTAAAATTTCATATATACTCATGTAAATATATATCGAGTGCTATGGTGTGTCAGGTATATATTTCGTCAGTACTGTAAACTGGATCAAGAGAATATATTTCGTTAGAGACATACACGAAAGATAGATACTTCATTCGTGTTTCAATTAGATATGTGTCAGTAGTTACGTTTGATTCCGATTCATTATATATTTCAAGGGAATAGTCTTCAGTATAGTTACCTATGTATTTTTTCCTGTGTATAACCACGTCAAGTGTGTGTTTTTCCTGTATATAACCACGTCAAGTAGGTGTGTTTTTTCCTGTATATAACCACGTCAAGTGTGTGTTTTTCCTGTATATAACCACGTCAAGTAGGTGTATTTTTTCCTGTGTATAACCACGTCAAGTGTGTGTTTTTCCTGTATATAACCACGTCAAGTAGGTGTATTTTTTCCTGTGTATAACCACGTCAAGTGTGTGTTTTTCCTGTATATAACCACGTCAAGTAGGTGTGTTTTTTCCTGTATATAACCACGTCAAGTGTGTGTTTTTCCTGTATATAACCACGTCAAGTGTGTGTTTTTCCTGTATATAACCACGTCAAGTGTGTGTTTTTCCTATATATAACCACGTCAAGTGTGTGTGTTTTTCCTGTGTATAACCACGTCAAGTGTGTGTTTTTCCTGTATATAACCACGTCAAGTGTGTGTTTTTCCTGTATATAACCACGTCAAGTGTGTGTTTTTCCTATATATAACCACGTCAAGTGTGTGTGTTTTTCCTGTGTATAACTACGTCAAGTGTGTGTTTTCCCTCAGTGTGCCGCGGCTGGTACATGGTGCATCTATTAACTCCATTCCTCATGCGCATATACGAGCACTGAACTGTCTCACAATGCGAATATACAAACATTAAGCTGTATATCCCACCACACTGCTAATGCATAAGCTCTATCCAATCATGAGCCTTGTATATAAACAAAGCCTTTTCATATGCTAAAATCCCCGTATATCCCAACATGGTACAGTTCTACACGCATATATATCCCAGTACCACTACAGAACCGTTTCTATGCGAGTATCCCAGCATATCCCAACATAGAGACACAATACATAGATATATCCCAACAGAGAGTCGTTAAACATGCATATTTCTCTATTTTATTCCAACAAAGAAGCCTATACCACTTATACCCGGAGACCCATTCCAGGTATACCTATTAACACATAACCAAGGCCTATGGATGTAAACAGACCCAGTCACTCATATAGGTCGTCACGTGGGCTGGTAACACGATGTAAACAATAGGTGAGATTCGTCAAGTCACCATCAATGTTTACACGATACGAATCATTCACAATATTCCTCTACCATTCACTAGTATTGCATGTTTAGTTCGACAGGTTTTTGATTGATTTATTTGTGGTGTGATCTTGTTAGAGGTGATTTCAAGGTATTTTATAAACTGGTGTTTTTGTTTTTATATTTTTGTGGTTGTTGGTTATTGATGGTGTTTTTGTTGTTGTAATATTTCAAGGTGTTTATTGGTCTCTGTGTTTACGGTGTTTTTTTGTTTTTATTCAATATAGTTTTACGTTTATTATTGTTTTGGGAGATATTATTGGAAACTTTTATTATTTTGTTTTTATACTTTTCAATACGTGATACTTAGGAATTTCCTTTTTGAGTGATTTATTGCAGTTATTCCAAGCTTCTGATATTAAATAAAATGACGAGATATTTTTGCTAATGTTTTTTTTCTTATAATATTTATGTCTTTATTCGTTTTAATTCATAGATGTGATACGATAATTTTTCACCTTGACGTTTGAGAGGGGAAATTTATGACCTAATTTGCATACTGTATGTAATATCTTAATCCTGTTTCCTGTATATAATTATTTTCACTTTAATATTGGACATAAATATCTGGTGACTTGATTTGCATATTACAGGTAAAAGTTTCAGTGTCTATTTCAGGTTATCAAGAGTACTGAAGTTTGTATCGCCTATGGTATACAGTACAGTCAACTACTGAAGTCTTACTGTCTGAACCACGAGCCCCGAGAGATTCAGACTCGTAAACCCGAACAAGTGAGGTAAAGAGGCGGTGGAGGAAGGGGTTGACGGCATGGTGAGGAGGATTTAACAGAGTATAAAACATCATCTGGTTTATATACAAGATTTTGTTTATTCGTCCCCATTTAGAGGAAACTCGTAAATCTCCCTCTTTTTTGCCTGATTTACAGGCGATAGTAAAGCAAAATTCACGAATCCTTCTTCCAGATTTTCAGGTAATGGTTTCGGCAGCTTTGTAAATCCTTTTTCCCGATTTACAAATATTAGTTTAGACCGAAGGTTAGGGAAACGTTTGATAGTCAGAGGGCCATAGTGGGCTCATGAGGCCATAGGGGCCAGGGGGCCACATCGGCGTCGGGGGACCATTTCAGGCTCATGAGGAGTCTTCGCGGGATATCTATTATTTCCACTGCTAATAATAACACTTACAGATATAATAGGTATGGCCGCCACCCTGAAACACATCCCCCCCCCCCAGTGTAGTTCCGCGGCGATGCGACTCAAACTATATGTGTGTGTTGAGCTAGACACGAGTTAGTAAATAAAGCAACAAATACGGGTTTTTATAATCAAATTTTTCAGTTTTTATATATCCTTACATCGTTTATATAGCTCCTTCGTTTTTATGTTTCATTAAAAGTCACTGAATTCAACTATGGTCGCCTTAACACCCTCAGCGAGAAACAGTTTCCTTAGTTAGAACAATGAAGGGAGGATGTTCAGTGTGCCTTAAGTATATACCGTCTTAATGTCAGGATTTCTTTTAACCTATAAATGACCTTTGAATAAATTATGGAGTTTTTGCATACATTTTACGTAAAGGAACTTCATCGCTTAAAAAAAACAACAATGAATTAAATTTGACGTTTCTTAAATTTGCTGTATCGTTTAACATGAGATATTTAACATGTATTTTATATTTGTTTTGAGATATCTACAAGTTCCTTAGTCAGTTTACGTAAAATATCTACTTTTAAGTTAATCAAAGGAATATTGACTCAAAAACACCTGAAAAAAGTCTTATGTATTTTATTTAAGTCAAGATTAATTTTTCTGTTATCGTTTGTGTTTCAGGTGAGCGATGATGACTATAGGTCCTGTCCTTAACACCTGAGACTAACGGAAGAACAGAATGCCTGGCGATAACAGTAACAGCACTCGGTTAACGGAGAGGACAACAGGAAGACAGCAGTAACAGCAAAATTATCACTATGGTCGACGAAGATGCAGCAATAACCGCATTAAAGTCAGTGTGATTGATAAAAACACAACAGAAATAACAGTAAAGCCGATGTGATTGACAGAGAGAGCTAAAACAACAATAATGTCACTATGAACTAAGAAAGACGCGGCAATAACAACAACTAGAACAGAATGCGTAAGTTATTGAAACAGCAAAAGACGCACAGCAGTGATTACCAGACGCTACGGAATCTATCAATAAAAGCAATAACATCACCGTGATTGTCCATCTGGAGGTACAAGTAGTGTCAGTGTGATTGTCTTCTTCTCCAGACACACCTTAATAAGTAAAGCACACACACACACATACACACACAGCTTATGTAGTGAGGGAGAGGCTTAGCAACTCAGGTACAACGGCCATCCAAACAGTGTGAAGGACTTTGTTGGCGCCAATATCAAGTCACAAGAATGTTTACAAGACCAGCTCCCACAGTACCAGCTCTAGAGTGAATCTATATGTTGACTCTATGTTTATTATATTTTTTTGTATTGAAACCTTTCCTCAGTCAAGTGACCCACTCCCCGATTTCACCATATGTAACTTATCAACCCTGCTCATTGTATATTTTCAGCTTTCGGGCTGCCATATTATCTTAATAAACCGTTAATTATTATTTTTATTATTATTATTATTATTATTACACACAAAATAGACGTCATTCGTAATCTATATACACATGGCGTTACATATATTATACACTTATAACAAATAAAATAAAAGATGAAATTTCTTACTAAATCTTCTATTATTATCAAAGGTAAAAATAATGAACAAATAAAAAAGATTATAAAGTTACTTGGTTATTATTATTTTCTTATTTTTTTTAAACAATACTATACCTATTCATCAAGGTTCCTCATGTCTAATAATCTTTTACTCAATCAAATCATTGAATATATTTTCGCTTCTATCTTTGTTTCTTAACTTCAAGATGAGTCAACCAAAGGCGTTCTCACGTCTCAAGGTAAGGTTAATAAAAGGCCAGACGTAAGAACCTTTGAGAATCTGGGCTAGAATTCTGGACACATACACACATCGGCGCTTGCAGGTAAGTCACGGCCTATGATCTGACGGAAGTGTCGGGCGGTGGTCGTGGTTGAACACAGACAGTCACACACACACGACCCTACGATATAACAGCGGCCATTTGTGTGAAAAAGTACTTGTCTCATGGGTTATATATCTAAATCTGTATTCCTTCCTTCCTTCCTTCCTTCCTTTCCTTCGTTCCCTCTTCCTCCTGTACTTCCTCCTTTATCTTCTCTTACCCTCCTTCCATCCTTCCTTGTTTTTCCTTCACCTCATTCATCTTACTCTCCCTGCTCCCTTCCCTCTTCCTCCTTCACCTCCTCCTTTTTCTTCTCTTATCCTCCCTCCTTCACCTCCTACTGCTCTTTCTCCTCTTCCTCTCTTCTAGGACGCTTAACTGGCACTAAGGACTTCTGCATTTACATCCTAAGGCGCTAAGGATGTGTGTGTGTGTGTAGGATTAACTGATGATGATGATGATTACAATGACGAGGACGATGACGATTACAGTGACGACAACGACGATGATAATAATTACAATGACGAGCACAAAAAAATACAAGATCCTGAAAATATGAAAACAGTTCCTCATTTTCCTCAACAAGAGACGAATAATAATAAAAAAAAAATCCCATCCAATTTAGTTGATTAAAATATCAACTAATATTTCATTTTTCTGTTCCTCAGGTGATAACAACGTCACTTGTCAAAAATAAATTATACTTTATGGAAACAAAATGAGATATCTTATACAAATAGACTTGATAAAATATTAAAGACAAATAATTTAATCCATATTTGAGTATTATGATATTGGTGGATAGATAATGGATTGTAAATCATTATAGGAAGTTGCATGTAAAGAATCTCGGGTGGATAAGACTTGAAGGATAAGAAATGGTAAAATATAATAACTTGCTGTGGATACCGGAATTCGCTGCTGATAAGGATTGCCATCGACAATATTTCACCATAGAAAGGTTCTTAATACAAACTGGAAAATGTAAATAAAATCCGATATATAAAGTTGATGGTTTTGATAAGAGTATATAGGAATTTGGGAGTGAATAAGTTATCTTGTCAAAATGTCCGTAAGAAAATGTGGTTTAGTGTTTCGTGTTAAAGATTTTTATTTTGATGATATGTATAGTTACAGTACACACACACACACACACACACACACACACACACACACACACACACAGCCTTTCAAATATTCAAATGTTACATAGCCTTATAATCTGGTTAACAAAGACAGACAAATACAATACCTCTAACATCGTCTTCCTAAACAAATAATAAAACTCTTCAATCAACACAAAACACCAAAAAAAAACAACATTGAATCTTCTTTAATCTCCTAAAATCACGCCACCAAAACTACAGCACAATCACAACCACACCCCTAAAAAAAATCATAATTGAGACTCTATATTTTCACTAGTTTATACATTTCTCTTCCCCCTCAAAAAAAAAAAAACACAAAATAAAGGAAAAAACCCACAAACTCACGAAAATTTGAGAATCTACAAATTGTGTGAAGGTTACTGCTAAAATAACGTGGAAACCAACCTTGTATATAAAAGAGAAAATCGCGCCATACGTTGTCAATGGTCCTTAATTTGGCTTGGGTGCTGGGACCGTCAATACCGACTTACTAAGACTCATGACGCCAGAAATCGGTGATCAAGAATGTAAACACAACGCTCATTGGTCGGGTGGTTAAACCGTTATAGTGAGGATTGAGAGGGAGGAAAATTGAATTGTGTGTGTGTGTGTGTGTGTGTGTGTGTGTGTGTGTGTGTGTGTGTGTGTGTGTGTGTGTGTGTGTGTTGTGAGTATGTGTGTGTGTGTGTGTGAGTGTGTGTGGTGTGTGTGTGTGTGTGTGTGTGTGTGTGTGTGAGTGTGTGTGTCTGTGTCTGTGCGTGTGTGTGTGTGGGTATGTGTGTGGTGGTGTTATCATTTTAGGTGTTTTATTGTGTGTGTGTGTGTGTGTGTGTGTGTGTGTGTGTGTGTGTGTGTGTTCGTTGGTAGACACACAGATAACTCATCTTAAAAGAACTTCTGCATGAGATTATTTACCTGGGAAGGGGATGGGGATTAGGTTAGGTTAGGTTAGATTAGGGTTAGGGTGGTTAATCATCAGGTGATCCTTGCTCAAGACATAGCAGGATACATCTCTCGTAAGACAATACTAAAAGAAACAAGTCGTTTAACAACAACAACAACAATAATAATAATAATAATAATAATAATAATAATAATAATAATAATAATTATAATAATATAATAATAATAATGTCCATCAAATAAACACACAGGTTAAAAAAAAATTAGAAATACCCCCACCCACACCCCGCCTCTACCCACAGCTCCCATTCACCAGCCTTATCAAAGATACCTCCTCGTCACTCCCTCACCTGCACAGTCTGGCCACACGCAAAACATATTATAATTTCTGTTGTAATTATTTGGTAAGGTTAAGCGGGCAGCCGGGGTTGATGAACGAGTCCTTCTCTCTAATCAGGGAAGCTAAATTTCATGAAAGTAACTGAGAGAACATTATCGTTCATCATCATCATCAGGAGGCCCACGTCACCACCATGCTGCTTGGATCTTGAAATTATTCCAGCACAGGAGATGACGTAACTCTGGCGTCATCAAGATGGGTAGATGACGTGTGTAAGTGTATACCTGTGTGTAGAAGACATACCTGGTACTGTGCTACTGAGTTACCTGGTACTGTGCTACTGAGTTACCTGGTACTGTGCTACTGAGTTACACGGAGGCACTCTACTGAACTCTGGTGCTATAATTACACTGATGTATATACCGAGTATGTCTGTATATTAATGTATACTACAGACTGCTGGTATAGTGAGTCATTACACTGGTGCCTGTGTACGTAATACCGTACTACTACGGCCTGGCTTGAGTGCTGCATTACCTCATTACACTGATGTATATGTCAAGTGTAAACAGCAGTTGGCAGACGTCCGTGTAACGATGCATACTTAACACCCACCTAAAGTAACAGCTATATAGGAGGCGTAAGAGGTGATATAGTAGCCTTCAGGGTTTAACTAAGACCTTTATTACGTTAAATATGACGTAAGAGTCTAATGTGGATTAAGTCTCTAAAAATATGTGTGGATACATAACACATTTATGGGGTGAGGGTATTCTTGTCACCCTTTCTTGTTGTTTTATAGATGTTTGTAGAGTTAACTGTGTGAAGGGGGATATTTAATAGTGACACCATTACCACCATCACCATATACCACCATTACCACTATCATTATCACCACCACCACGTAACCTACATTAACAATCCACCACCACCATCACTATTAACCACCAATATCACCACCACTATCCCCATCACCACTACGTACCACCATTATCACCGCGTATCACCACCACTATCACCACGTATCACCACCACTATCACCACGTATCACCACCACTATCACCACGTATCACCACCACTATCCCCCCATCACCGTATCACCACCACTATCCCCATCAACCACCACTATCCCCATCACCACTACGTACCACCATTATCACCGCGTATCACCACCACTATCACCACGTATCACCACCACTATCACCACGTATCACCACCACTATCACCACTACGCACCACCACTATCACCACGTATCACCACCACTATCACCACGTCCCCTTCCTCATCTTACGTGGATATCTTAACCTCTGTCTACCACAACCCTGGACTAACACACTGACAGTCACCCTACTGAGTATTTACAAGATAAACAGACAGTCTTTTACAGAATAGGTTGAGAGTTATTTAAAAAGATACAAGTAGTTATTTACATTTCAATACCGTAAATATCCTCCATATTTACTAGGTGGTAATTTACAAGATTAACCATTTACCGAATAAGGAGGTAAGTCATTTTACAACTCACAAATGGTTAACTCACAAAAAACTTACATTAACCGATCATTTACACGATAAGAAAGGTAGTGATTTACACATTAAGGAACCAATTTACAGACACAGCAGACATCGGATCATTAAGTCATTTACATATCCAGTTAATTTACATTATCTTAGAGCCCCGTAAGGTAGTTATTTACAACATAGCGATCTAGTCATTTGTAAATTATGAAAGTGGTTACCAGTAGCCGTAAGTTAGAGTTAAGGAATATGTTAGTAAGGGCAGCTGTTGTTGTGGTTTGTTATTGTATATCTGAAGAAGCTTAAATCGATTATGTTGATGCAGAGGAAGTACATCATTTGCATAATGACGGGATGTGAGAGAAAGAGAGAGAGAGAGAGAGAGAGGAGAGAGAGAGAGAGAGAGAGAGAGAGAGAGAGGTAACGGTGAGTGTGAGTGAGGGAAGGAAAGGAGGGATGGAATTGTAATTGATAGAAAGATAAGTGAGA